TTAATACTGTCTCACTTCCTCCTACTGGACGTGGCATGCTTAGCAATGGATGTATTTTGAAAAGTTGTATCTTGTACAGTTTCGTATATTGGAGACTGCACTTATTAACTAGACTAAAAACATCGACCGTTCCAGCTCGTTTTCTAAATTACTGTTTTTATGTTGCAGGTATTTTTTTAATTTAAATTAACGGCAACCCAATGCTTTTATCTTTCGTTTTCAACGAATAAGTTGTCTTATACAAGTATTTATATCCCGTGTATATCGCGTTTTTTGCATAGATGACACTACAGTTTGTCCTAGTTCAAGAAATATTTTGAAGAAACAAAATGAAAGCGATTGTTATAGCACTCATGGCCACCCTCCTAATAATCAATTACTGGCCGCCACTGCTTGGATTTTCGGCAACAGAACAGCTAATGTGTCGCCAAGAAGAAATTTTTTTAAAAAAATTAAATGTTTATTTTTGAAAATTAAGTGTGTGCTTATGTGACATCTGTTTGTTTCCTAGCAAGGCAAGATATGTGTAAATGTTGTCAATAGTGAGAGACTTGGTTTTTTGGTTGCGAAGAACCCAATTATTTTAGGATTTCTTGTTCTATTAACTTTGTATCACGTACAGTTCTCAACGTTGATAAACAATTCAAAAATATATAATCCGACCAAGCGGAGGGTAGGACTGGCGATGAGGGCAGCACTGCGCTTTGTTTTGCTTCGGAGAGAAAGAGACTGAAGCACTGATATGAACCAAGTACCAAAGACGTATAAACGCAAGACGCCCTCTTGTAAGGCAATCTTATGTTCAGTAATAATCGTGACTGTCCATTTAAAAAGTACGGTGAAATACCGACGCCATCAATATATTGATAAATATTGATGATATAAAGAATGGAAGTATTTTGTGAGTATTTTGTGTACTTTCGGCGGCGGCGATGGTGTGACGGTTAGCGTACCGGACTGTTATACCTAAGCTTCCAGGTTCAAACCCGATCGAAGCCGTGGATTTTTAGGGCGACAAAATCCTTCGTACGCCTTCCTTCGGGGGGGAAGTAAAGCCTGCTGTCCCATGTTAGTAGATTTACTTGCATGTAAACGATCCTCAAGCCTAAATGACGCCTCTGAGCTAAATTCAAATCGCCTGTTTCTCGCCCAAGAAATACCTCCTTTCTCTGCTAGTTGGTGAAAGGAGCGTAGCGAAATTTGCGTGGTCAGATGGAAGCGCGGGTCTGATGGCCCGAGTCTCGCCACGTAAAATAAGGCAAATTCAATCCAATTCAAAAAGTATTTTGAGAACCTAAAAGAAACCACATATTCGAGTATTGCTACGTGACAATTTATATTGTCGAGTATATGATATTATTTGATTTAATGAAAAAAAATCCAAGAATTTCTGAAAAAATATATAGTATATGAATATCAAACTTTTTTAGGGTTGTGAAGTTTGGAAGATACAAATGATACACCGTAGTAAAATATAATGATATTTCATCAGAAAACATCATTACATAAATTTTCTGGCTACTAGAAATGATCCTCGATATTAATTCCAAGTAAAGTGTATGGAATTAATTATGTTAGGACGTTTGTCCCCAGTTTTCACCAATCTCCTAGCTATACGCAACCACTCATGCTTAATACATGTGTGTGCTGCAAATTGCAGATGCTACAGGCGCAAAGGTAAAATTATATTCTCTTATTTATATTAGATGAAAATACTCTATAGTATTTCTTATGCTAAGTAAAACCTCGTTTGCATGGAAAATGATCCATGAATATTCAAGCCCCGTAGCGATTCCTCCTAGAATTTCCTTTGAACATGTGGCTTTCGGTAAAACTATTTCACACAATACCATTAAACTCATGTAAACTAGTACAACAGATAATAATAGTAATAATAATAACAATAATAATAATAATAATAATAATAATAATAATAATAATAATAATAATAAATATACTATTAATTTACTGGAAAGAAGCGACTTGATCAAGCTTATTGTGTGTGCGAAAGCTCTGGATCGAAAATGCAGACACATTTATGCTTAAAAAGCCTTTAATATTTTACAGTTTCTTTACGCAGCCACAAACCAATGATCCTAATTATAGAGTAAACTTATGTGATCGCTCTGAAAAAATAAATGCATGTAGTGTAAATTTAACTATAAGTAAAATTTGACAATTTTTGCTGATAGCTGGTTGAAATTTTAATGAATGTCATTGACCACTTAGCACACAAACAAAATACTCATTCAAGCTAAATTACTATCGATTTCAGTTTGCTATGACAATGCATATATAGTCTGTAAGGTAATACATAGTCTTACATACAATACATGAAATTGAGTGTAATATTGTAGCCTACAGTTTTTCGCTTAGATTCGTTTATGCGCAAAAAATATATTTCTATTTTAGCGCTTGCTATTGGTGTTGTATTGGCGTGAGAAATCTTGCGTTAGTTATTGCTTTTGCTTTTGATGCAGATTTTTGCCAGGGAAACTTGTGATATTGATTTAATATCGATTTCTACTCACTCTCATCTCACTTTCTGTCCAAGAACGCTTTCAAGTTAATTTTTCTTATGGGCTGCTAGTATTATCTGTAAATTATGGCTCGTGTATTTACCAGCAAGGTTTTCCATAACAACAGTTTCATCTTTCGTTCGTCAATTACGTAAGGAATTTTCGGATTAAACGAAATGAGATCTTATCAGGATGTTATTTATTGGAGGATTTAACTTCACAGAGCATTTAGTTGGAGATTCTTTTACATTCCGCAAGTATGGAAAGAATACCGAGAGTTTTTCAGGACCCCAAAAATCTACGCACCTCAGTCTTAATAGAAACTGGGAGAAATAGTAAACTGGGAATTGAGAGGCCTTTAACTCGGCGGCGGAACGTGAAAAATCCTGACGTCAGTAGGAACGTTGGGCCTAATAGACCCGCTTGTTATTAGAACCTGTTTAAAGCACTAATTAATTACACAAATATTTATTAAATAAAAGATGCAAATAAATCATAGATCCAATATCAAGAACAAAATATTACCTTTTATTTTTAAATTCTCCACCGACAAAAAACAAAATTGATAGTGAACGAATATCAAAGAAAACAAAATTGTAGCATTAAGTTAATAACTGAAATATTAACAAAATATGTCTGCATCACTAAAACAAACATAATGGAAGCAAATTTTTAAAGTAACGTTTTATAATATGTTTTATGGAAGCATTTTTGACGATAAACTTTTTCGAACGTTTATATTTTCTTAACCTTTCCGAGAAAGTGTTTTAAGTCTTACAAAAAATTACAATAATATGCATTTCTTAACCCTGAAATATCGAATTTATTTATAAAAAATAGACTGCAAATAAATAAACAAATATATTACAAAAAATTAAGATTAATTTCCTGATTCGCAGATCCAGCTTCTTCAATTTCTTGTTCAGAATCAGTACAGTGCAAACATTCTTGTTCATATAATGTATCAGCGACATCATCACTTGATAAACAATAGTTTTTTTCTAAAATCTATTTAATTTATTCTGTATGACACGAATTTAATGCGTTAAAATAACTCTTGGATGAGCTGGCCATGTTATATAAAACTCACAACGGGGACGTTGGGTCTGATGGGCCCATCAACAACTTTAAGCAGGAATAGCACAAAACCTTTTTCTGATAAACTCAAAATAATGGTCGTCATCTGTTCAATAAGATTCAATTCTAAGGTAGACTGGTGGATAGGTTAAGAAATAATTTCGTTCACTTGATAGGCGGCTTCAAAGATGACGCTTGGTCTGACAGACCCAAGTTTCACTGTAGAGTTAAGCTAACCTCCCAATACCAACGAATAATTAAATAGGTATCTATATGCGCTATATAATTGCGCTTATTGATTCCAAAGTAATAAAATAAGTCCGTAATGAATGAGTAGTGTATAAGTCAAAATATTTTACTTGGCATTTGTCTACAATTCCAATTTTCCTTGATTAAATAATATATTTTAAGGGCCTACGAGATTCTTAGGGACTGCGATGAAACCAGACTAAAGTAGACCTAATGGCTTTCTCTGGTATAGCCCTAACACAAGCGGGCGGGCGTTCCAAGTTTAATTTTTAATTTTCTATGTATTTAAATCTTTGAATTAATCTTATCCTCATTATTTGTACTTTCGGACCATATAATTTTGAAACAATTATAAGACACGTCATTAATGTAATTTATATTTCAAAAACAAAAAAAATACAAGATGTTCCGTAAATTTGTCGAATAATTCCCTACATTCAAACATACTAGCCATTCGTTCCGACATTAAAAGAAGCATGAACTTCATGACTTTTTTTTCTAATTTCTGAAACACCAAGCCTCTTGTTCTTAGACCAATCTATTGCGAGAACCCCACCAACTTCGCGAAACAGGACATGGCTGTTAACGAAACACTCGCGTGTGAGACCAAAGAGTTTTTATAAATTAAAATTCTCCGAAATCTGAAATCGCGACGCTACCCTGGGTGACCTTTGCGGCAAACACGCTCTGGTCATGCCACTTCAGACGAGCGCACAAGTCGCGTGATGGACGAGTGTAATGTGGGTGAATTAACACTACGCCATTCCCGACTGGCGACGCCCACGCCGTGAGTTTCCGCTCTAGCGTTTTCCATCAAATTTCATGATGTTCTTGGAATCTTTGTGGCATTAAAAGATGCAAGAAATATAATTTTTATAATTAACTATTATTTTTTATTCATGATAATAATTCGTAATAATTCACACTGAATAAAATCGGCGGTGGCGTAACTGGGAGCGGTTTTAAAGGATCATCTACGATCGTCAATTTTCATCAGCAAAGCACCTGCTGCGGAGTCATTCTCTAGGCAAGGCAAGACTAGGCGACTATAGAAGAGGATAAGCGAGAAAAGAGAAGGATAGGCGGGGACCGCCAATGTCATGTGAGGTCAGAAAATGATTGGTTAGGGCATGCAATAGTAGGTGAGGACTGGGAATGAGGATAAATGATAGGCGAGGACAGGCAATAAAAGGTGAGGATAAGTAATGATATGAACGGACAAGCAACAACAGCACAGCAGCGGACAAGCAAACAGCACCTGTGGACAGGCAATAATAAGTGAGAAAAGACAACGATAGGGAAGGTCAGGAATGATAGGAGAGGACAGAGAACGATAGATGAAGACAGGCAACGACTGATAAGGACAATCAATGATAGGTGAGGACAGGCGACGATAGGAGAGGACTGGCAACAATAGGTGACGACAGGCAATGATAGGCGAGGACAGGCAATGATAGGTGAGGACAGGCAACTATAAGTGAGAACAGGCAACTATAAGTGAGAACAGGCAACTATAAGTGAGAACAGGCAACTATAAGTGAGAACAGGCAACGAGAGGTGATGATAGGCAACGAGAGGTGAGACAAGCATTAATTGCTGAGGACAGGCAAGTATACGTGAGGACAAGCAACAGCAGATGACGACGACAGTGCTGGACGGTGAACTCGCGTTCATGGGCAAGGACACAAATGACAGGAACGGATAGACAAGGACATAGGCTAGATAAAGTGACGCGAGAATACGTCAGGTGAGGCGCACTGGGGGCACGGCGAGGCGTGGGGAGAGAAGAACCGTCTCGTGAATGGTCTTGAGCCCCGCCCTGCGAGGCGCAATGACGCGGCCGCGCCTGTTGTGCGCGTGGGCCGCGCAAGGCCTCTCCCCCACCCCACCCCGCGCCACGGCCGCCTTCCTTTTAATTAAAAAGTTGGGGGAGGGCAAGGGAGTGGACGGCAATCGATTGAGAAGGCCTAGCGCGATGTGTGCTCCTGGCACCTTGCGCAAGACGTTTTCAATTTTGATGTCTTTGTCTTTCCCCTCTCTCTCTCTCTCTCCCTCTATCTCTCCCTCTCTCTCTCCCTCTCTCTCTCCCTCTATCTCTCCCTCTATCTCTCCCTCTATCTCTCCCTCTATCTCTCTCCCTCTATATCTCCCTCTTTTCCTCCCTCTCTCCTTTCCACTCTGGCTATTCTACGTTCCTTTCTTTCTAGCTCTCCTACACATTCTAATATTCGTCTCACAAGCTCACTCTCACTTTCTCCTCTCCCTCTCTCCTCACTCTCTCCCTTTTCCTTTTATTCACTTTCTCCTTCTGCCGCTCTCGCCTGAATCCCCCTTTACATACACACACGTATATTTACATTCACTACAATAATACTCTTGTCTGGAGAATAGTTGGGAGCTCAGAGCTTGTCCCGGCTGGGAAGGTGCCTCGCTGATGGTGATACCTGGTTGGGGAAAAGACCGTTAGCCGACGGTAGATCGGCGCTGGATCTCAGCATCTAGCGGGGAGATCACCGCCAAGTCCCTTGATAAAACATGCTATTTTCTTACGGGACTAATGACTTTCGCAGTTGACGCGGCGGGAATTACCAATGAATCAATTGTATCCGTTCGCATGGGTGACGGTTATGGACTCTTCCCCTTCTCCATTAACGGAAGCACCTCTCAGTTCCATTTTTTCTAGTTAGAAAGCGCTGTGGAGTTCACAACGTGCACGGGACAATCTACGCTTCTCTAGCTTATATTGAGCGAGAATATGTCTCGTAGGGAAGCATACGGGTTTTAGAGAAGGTAGTACAAGGCGATTGTTTCACCATAGTTCATCACAACTGATCGGATAATAACACCACCTAGATGCAACGTACCATCCTGCTAACACGTAGAATTATAAAGGTTCTGCTAGTAAGCGAATATCAGCACTAACTCATCCTCAGCTATGGCACCATTGGTAAGAGAAGTAGAGAAATAGTGTTTGTGTGAGTGACAGAGATGTTTGAGGGAGAGCGTGTGTATGTACGAGAGGGACAAAGTGTGTATGTAATTGAGAGAGAGAGAGAGAGAGAGATGGACAGAGCGAATGTCAGGAACTGACCGACAATAAGAGGAGGTAAATGTGTGTGTGTGTGTGTGTGTGTGTGAGAGAGAGAGAGAGAGAGAGAGAGAGAGAGAGACACTCATGTGAGAGAGAAAGAGAGAGTGCGAGAGAGAGATAGCGAGCGAGAGAGACAGAGCGAGCGAGAGAGAGAGCGATGAGAAAAAGTAACAGCCTTTTAAAATTAAATTGGTTACTGATTTCCTTTTGCTAACAGTTCCCAAAATTATTTTACACAAAATGCTTGCCACAAAACAACTTAATTCAGATCATGTGGATTAAATGGCCACAGCCCCCGCCGGAGCAGCAATTTGTATTCAAGGCGAGTAGCGCCCTTCGCTTACAGCCCCAGCAGCGTGCGAATTCCCGGTTAATCCGCCCCCGGCGACCCTCGTATGTCATCTGCGCGGCGCGGATAGTCGCAGCCCTTCGGAAGCACCTGCGCGGGGGCAGAGGTCGCGGCAGGGCTTGCACCCGCCACTGCCCCAAGACCCCTCCGCAGTGACTCACGAGAAGCACTGGAACACGACCGTAGGTCCCGGCACCCGCCTGGGCCTCAGCTGGTCCGCGCTTGAACTTCTTGATTTCCCTTCGGGCGCTCCGGCTTAGGTGGCTCAGGGCATCACCTGATGACCCAGCAGTGCCTCTGATCAAGGATTTCAGTCCCGACGTGCATAATTTTCGACGTTACCTACTCCTCGTTCACTTTACATTTTCGGACGTAGCGCTGCAATCTGTTTACATGATGTCACCGGCGACGGAATGAGAGTCGCATGTCTGTAGTAGAAACTGATCGATTAGATATACGCATTTATGAATATACACTATGTGATCAAAAGTATTTAGACACGTCTAAAATAGTGTGATGGTGTGGTTGTGTTTTTCATGGAGAGGGCTTGCGCCCCTTTTTGGTTTGTGTGCCACTATTACGGCACAGGCGTACGTTGAGGTTTTAAACACCTTCTCGCTTCCCACTGCTGAAGTGCAATTCTGGGATGGCGATTGCATCTTTCAACACGATCGATCACATGTTCATACTGCACGGCCTGAAGTGGAGTGGTTTCACGACAATAACATCCCTCTAATGGACTCGTCTGCACAGAGTCTTGACTTGAATCCTATCGAACACTTTTGGGATGTTTTGGAACGCCGACTCCGTGCCAGACCTCACCGATCTACATCGATAACACTCCTCAGTGCAGACCTCCGTGAAGAATGGGCTGCCATCCCCCAAGAAACCTTCCAGCACCTGATTGAAAGTATTCCTGCGAGAGTGGAAGATGTCATAAAGGCTAAGGGTCGGCCAACATCCTATTGAATTCCAGCATTACCGATGGAGGGAGCCACGAACTGATAAGTCATTTTCAAACATGTGTCCGGATACTTTTGATCACATAGTGTAGATGGCGGTGATCGGGATACAGACCCGCTCACTGCAGGGCACCGTTGAGTAGATGCGCGCATGACCATACCTATTGTGTAATAGATATGTGCCAAGGAGAAATAAAAAAATCCGTCCCTTTTGTCAATAACGTGTGTTGTCGATGACAAAGTGTATTGTACAGCAGCTCTGTCCACAGCTTTTTTTAATGGTATGAATAACCCATTTTTCTTTTCCTCCCGACAATAGTTGACTGCATCATTTTATCATCAACTTACGGCCAGCACACACTCTTGCATACCGAAGTGGATTTGATTATTCCGCTGTCATCACAGAAATGACAAAAACAAAACAAGAACTTTTTCTCCGCACTGCCTTAGCTGGCGACAGCATTGTCAGATGCTGTTTATACATCGGCACTATTCGTGCATTCTCGTATGTGTATCCGTCATCTTCAAAACAACAGTAGTTTCTAATTCTGCCGTCTGCAAGCATGTAATAATATATTGCTAGGTAGGATTCACCTGCTGTCTGGAAGAGAATTCTAGCAGCTGACTGCTCTGATTGGTAGATTTCCGTGGTTTCTCCGATCAACATCACGCAAATGCCAGAGAAGTACCCTAACAAACGGGCCATCTTTCGGTATATCTATAAACGATATTTCTATTCGATATTTCCTTACTATCCTCACTCCTTTCACACACACACACACACACACATCTACACCCACATGTACTACACTACAACAAATGTCGGTAGACCATTTCGCTGCTCAGAGCTTGACCCGGCTGGGGCGGTGCCACTATAGTGGCAGATACCTATGTGGAGAAAACCCCGCCAGTCGACAGGTAATTCGGCACCGGATTTCGCAATCTATCTCACCTCCCGCGGTAAAAGCATGCACAACACTTACGGGACTAAGGACGTTAGCAGTTGATTAATCAATCAATGACCCTAGGACACGTCCTGCGTCTCGTATGGATTAAATAAAACCAAAACATGAATTCTGTTCAGGTAGTATAGTTTTGCCTGTATTTATTTCAAACAGTATATAAATTATTCAAATTCGAACTGTATATAAAAATTATTCAAATTCAAAATTATTCCAATATATTAACTCAAATTGTAAAATGTTTTGAATGCAATTAAGAAGGAGAATTAATGTGTGAATAATTTATACATCTCACTATTTATGAATATGATTTCAAATATGTTTCATTTTACTAAAAGCTATGTTTTTGAGATTGTTGTATAAGGTTTGCATTTGAGTATACTAGCTGGTTTGCGATTCTGATTCAGTTCAAATTTATAAAACCATCTACAAATTGTACCACGAACCCCTAGTAATAGATCATTCCTAGTATGTTTTTTTATATATACATCTTGTGTGTATGTGTGTGCGCGTGTGTGGGACGATTTTTACTTTTTCTTCCGGAGGCCTTAACCAGCTTCAGAAGATGCTGGTTTTCGACTGTTCGCGTCGGATACCTACCATGTCCCTCATGGGGACACATATTAACCTTTACACTGGACACTAAAACACTTGCGGAATATTTGGTCTGTGTAGTCAGCAGACTCACAAGGCCTTGCGTGACAACACACATACATGAAAGACCAGGGAGAAACAGCCATGCCGACGGCGGGACTTAAACCCGCTACCCTTCCAACCGAGGAGCTGAGAAAGAACAAGCTCTATCCACCTCGTCCATCCTGGCCGGCA